ATTGTTTTGTACGCTGTACAAAATGGATTTAAAACTGGTAAGATTTAACACATTAATCTCAATTCAGTATGTCCCGTGATTATGTGGTAAAACAAAATTTTTGTGCCCAATTATTTCCCATGAGTTACATAGTTTTGGTATTGAGGTCAAGTTAACTTGTCTTGCATTCGCTATACAACACTGGGTGATGGTCACACAAGACGACTCGGCGGATTTGAAGTGCTTCTATTGCAGCGACTTTTTGTTCGGCGGACAGGGTTACCATCCTCGATTTAAATTAAATTTTAAAATGTTTGCGATTTTAATATAAGTACATGGTTAAATATTTGACCGTGCACTTACTTGAGCTACTTAACAGAAATAATGCATGGAATTATAGGCATACTGTAAGTTGTTTAAATTGTGTCTAAACGTGCGTTCATTCAAGTTTGTATACGTGTACAAAGAGAATAGCAATGCTGACAACTTTTTTTTATTTTTTTTAACAAGTTTCTGCATAACTTCTGCATTTGAAATAAAAATAGTGAGTAGGCCTATGTGTTTGTGGTCAGTTAGCTGCTCCTGTACCGCATACACACTGCACACGTAGTATGTGTGAAACGAGCGTAAGAGTGACCTTCAAATGCTGTTGAACTGAATTTTGTGTTCAGTTAGCTAGCTATAACATGTTGACAGTGTTATTAAAGTTTGGCTTACTTGCTCAGTAAAATTCTCTACAAAAGATGACTAGAGTTGATGAAAGCAAGTTGAACATTTTATGCTGACACCCGCTATAAAGGCCACTGCATCTAGACATAACAATGTGACACATTGACATTATGCACATAAACTTTTTTTAATGCGTAATACTTCAATTGTTTTATGACATTTCAGATTATAGACGCAGTTTACAATAACGATATACTCTCATACTGTAAAAGATTAATTAAAATTAGAATCATGACAGGATCCATAGTAAATGGCCATTTCAATTCATCCCAGTTCATTGAATTCCAAAGCCAAACTGTCACTTGTAAAGGAGACGTGTAAAATTAGCACTAAATGTAAATTGTGTATAAAGAGTTCAGATGCAAAAGCCTCTAAATGCCATTTGAAATTTTCTTCTTTAATGATGATTTTTATCAAACTTGTATATTTAAGTTCAGTAATTTCACTTAAATGGCAATGATAATTACCTATTAATTGTTATTTTAGTGAAATTACTGAACTTAAATATACAAGTTTGATAAAAATCATCATTAAAGAAGAAAATTTCAAATGGCATTTAGAGGCTTTTGCATCTGAACTCTTCATATATGTTCCTGAGAGATCTGTTCTGAGATCAGCCTGTTTAATTGCCATTTGTTCATATCAAAACTTTGCAATTAGCTTCTACTCTGACTCCTAGAAGCCTTGTCAGTTTGCACATCAATGGACGCTAGCGTTGTGCAGAGACTTGTCATTTTGTTTTAACATTGAGGGAAATCGTTGTTTTCATTGCAGTCTATTGAGTCGGACTGCGCTCTGTTAACGCCAGTATCCAGCTCAGCATTTTCTTTCCGAGCTGGAATGCTATATGTAGCGCGAGAAGGAAATAACTGTGGCGGTTTGCCAGGCTTTGAGAAAAGGGGGGGCGATGGAGGGTGGAACGGAGAAAAGAAAACAAACTTGAAGGCAAAGCGTTCGTGGTCGGCTCCCAGAGTTGAGAGAGGAGATTTTCAGACGGAGAGGTGTGTGTGTGTGTGTGTGTGCTCTGAGCAGTAATACTCTATTCAGAGAGCAGCGCTGGCTCGACGCCAGACTGCGAGGTGATAGTGAGCGCGGGGTAATTGCTGCCTACCCAGCAGCCTGCTGGATTGTGCTCTTAGGATCCAGTGACAGCATCACGCCTCTGAGCGCTTCAGCCCACCGCGCCGTCTGTACGCACACTCGCACGCTGTTATCATTGGCGTCTCTTGGCATTGGACCCTGCCCACGGCGCATTAGAGCAATGTAGTTGATTCTTTAAACTGACTCTTGGAATCATTTGCTAATTCTTGTGTCTCCGAGAACTGTGCTGTGGTTGAGCTGCGGCTTTGCATGCAGGCTATTTTGAGCCGCGCTCTGTCTGTGTGCAGGTGTGTGTGTGTCGCGCTAACACGCTCTGTCTGTGTGCAGGTTTGTGTGTGTGTGTGTGTGTCTCTAACGAGGTGCTCTGGTGGTTTCACACACCACACGCCCAATCAGCTGCTGTCAGGCTTTTGCAGCGCATCAGTGCGTAGAGTATCGAGGTGTGTGTGTGTGTGTGTGTTTGTTGACATGTCTGCTGGGAGATCTGATGTTCACCTGTCAGTGTCAGCCCCCGCACAGGAACTCATGCACATGCACACACTCCCATGTCTTTTGTTTCACTAAGCCCCGCCTTCTTAACCCCACAGGAAACAATGCCACAGTGCAAACCTTACATTTCTAATTGGGCATTTCCTCAAGATTTGGCCAGATTTATGTTTAGAAATCAATAAACTGGCAAAAAAAAAGTTAGTTAGTGGTGCTTTCTGAATGTTTTATGTCTTTTATAATAAATTGGTGTTCGTTCAATAGTTGTTTTTGCTACCTAATCCATATTTATCTCATATTTTTTTTGTCACTGTCGCAGTTTTGACTCCTAAATTCTTGTCATGTCTTGGACAAGAAACATGACTATATGTTGCTTCCCGGCTGTCTTTAACGATGTGTGTGGAACAAGGGGGAAATTCATCCATCAGCCGGAAACTGAAGCCTCACGGGAGCCGCCATTGTAGCAAAACGTCACCTGCGGTTAGCATTCACCTGCTGCGAATACCTTTACATCTGAGGCGTCCAAAGACTTAATTTGTCCGTTATTTATTTCCAAAGAAACACGACAATGTATAAAAGGGTTCATTACTTTGTATCTTAAGTTACGGCCCCGTAGAAGCTGTTTTTGTAAAAAATAGGCTAACGATTGCGTTATAACCACGCAACTTTCTGGCGCACAATAGAGACATTACCGTATAGAAGCTCGCAGGCAATCTTTTACTGTCTCTGAGGCAATCAAGAGGGAGAAGGGAGAAGCCCATAGATAGAGAGTCCATAAAAGCAAGGGGACAAGATATCTCAACAACGTTTTTGAGGAATTAGGTGATTCAGATTTACAAGTGTCAGACGCTCAGTTTGAGCCTGCGCAGTCGCTCAGACATCAGACATGAAGTGCAATAATCAGGCTTCAGTCTTCTCCATTGAAATCAATGGGGTCATCCATTTCTTTTACTGTCTATGGTGTGTGCAATCAGTGCTAAAATCCTTCTGAACACCACGGCAATGGCGTCTCCTGGCATTGCATCTACACCCTAGCATTGTGGAAGCAAGTTTAGCATATGCAGTCACCACTTACATTTCCTGAAAATGATAGTCTTGTTTTCTGTCGGACATCAAAGCATCACACAAAGATCTCTCTTTTTCAAGGATTTAATTTAGTAACTGTTAACAAAGGTCAAACTGTTAACAAAGGTCAAAATGTTGTTTTTGTGTGTGTGTGTGTGTCTGACATGCTTCTCTTTTAGTACAATGACTGTGAATAACACAACAGCAAGGGAATGTCTGAAGTTCCCCTCTTGAGGCGAGCGCTCTAAGAGAGAGGAAGCTGTTATTGTCTTTGTGGGAAATAAACTGTAATATTTAACTGTTTCTCCGAATGTTAACAAGTGCATGTGCCACCTCTAGTGTCTTTCATCTCATCTGTGATGAATTCCACTGAAACTTATATAATAACTTCATAATTTGCTACAGTGTCAAATCTAGCAGATTGAAAGTGAATGATTGAGTCTGTTTTGGTTGCCTTGTCCTGATAGTGCATTACATTAATAATCATTACTAAAATATACGCAACTTAGTAATTTATTCAAGTCCTTCCATAGAAATTCACCTTTGCTGTTTTGTCAAATCCTACACTCTTAGAAGAAAAGGTTCTACATAGAACCTTAAAAGGTTCTATCAGTGCTACATATTTGGAACCCCTAAAATGTTCTATACACTCTTAAAAAAGGGTTCCTTTGGGTTCTATATAGAACCTTTGGCTTCCATACTTGGCCAATAGAACCTTTTACCAAAAAAATAGTTCTATATAGAACCATTTTGGAGTTCCATATATAAAGCGGGGGATGGTTCTAAATAGAACCATTTCTTCTAAAAGTGTAATTTTTGTACATCAGTTTTATGACCAAGTCATTCTGTAGCTAATGTATTACAGTTGCTGTCAAAGCTTTAAATATGTAATCTATTAATGATAGTGTGATTTTAATCGTTCAGGATTTTATAACATAGGTATTCACAGCTTTCTGAACCTCTTAAGACCTTTAAGAGAAGAATCGTGATGATTCCTGGCACTAATTGTAATTTTAATTGTTGCCATCAGCTTTTGTGCAGGATTTTGTACAGCTTTTATAACATGGGTATTCACAGCTTTCTAACCCTTTTAAGACCTTTAAGAGAAGAATCGCGATGACACTAAATTTGGCGAGCGCACTACAGTTTTAATTATATATTAAGTAATAGTACTGTTTGGGGAAGGTTTACAGTTTAAAGATTAACTTCTCTAGCACACTTTTGCTATTTATAGCATGCCTGTGAGAACCTGACCTGTGTGAGTCTTCTTCCAAATGATTCTATAGATAGATTCAGAATTGTTATCGAGGATTGTTGTCTGGAAAGGAAATTGTATTTTTTTTTTTGGAAAGGAAGCTCTTGTCTTTGTTCCATTCTTAAAATCTTTCCAAAAGATGATGCACTTTTTGAAATAGTCCAAGATCAAACAAATAATGGATTTTAAAGAATAGGGGAAATGATGTCATTATGAACCTATCACAATAACACAATTTGATATTTGGTGTAGAAGTGTGTGTTTGTGGACATTTAAGTGCGAGACACAACAGGAAAAGTGCTGTAGATTGATTTTATTTATTTACTCGAACAGCTGCATTGTTTTTCGCTACTATAGTGCTGATCATCTCTCTCTCTCTTTACAGGATGATAATGATGGGATGCCGTGGTCGGAGGAGCGAGTGGTGCGGAAGGTGCTCTATCTCTCACTGAAGGAGTTCAAGAGCTCGCAAAAGCGCCAGCTCTGTGACGGCCTCAGCAATGGGAGAAAGGGACCTAATGGTAAGACACAGTTTCAATGGTTTCTTCGCTGAGCATAAAACACTCAGGTTAGCCCTCAAACCATATTCACTTTATAGCCCTTAATCCTGTAATTGTGGATAAATGTGGGCACAGAGGACTTAGGTGTGATCCTAATTTTTATTTATTATAAATGTTATATCACTGTCTTCGATAAAGTTTTGTCTATCCATTTATGGTGTTTTTTTTTTTTAATTTTGGGGGTATTTTTGAATTTATTTACTTCAAAAAGTACCATATTTTCTATGTAAATTATGCTTATTTTTTATTTATTATTATTATTTTTTTAACTACATTAAAATATCGTTCTTAGAGCTAAAACCTAAAGATGAAGTGACTTTGCGGTCTTATTTTAGAGTGCTCTAAATTACAGTTTTTCCAATTCATTTTTATGGGTGCCCATTTTTGACCCAAATACAAGATTAAGGAGTTTTTTTTCACCCACTTTACATTGAAGAATTGAGTCAAAAAAAAATTGTGTGTGTTCAGGAGGCAAACTTAGGAAAAGTAGCCAAGTCTTGTACCGCTCAGATCAAGGGAAGTATTTTTCAAAAATAAATCAAAACTATTTTGCCCACATTTTTCCAGAATGCATTTTTAGGGTTAAACTGTACGTTTTTGTTCAGTTTTTCACCAGTTTGGTACCATCTCTTGATGTTAAAATCTCCCTTATTACATTGTAAAAAAAATGCTGGGTTGTTTTAACCCAATTTTGGGTAAAATATGGACAAACCCAGCCATTGGGTTAAAAATGTCTTTTAAAAATGTAACTCAATGACTGGGTTTGTCCATATTTTACCCTAAATTGGGTTAAAACAACCCAGCATTTTTTAGAGTGTAGAGTGCAAATATACATATTTTAGTTTTGGTTTATTATTTTACCTCTTAGTACAGTGTAAACATCTACTTTTGTCTGGTGAAAGGAAGTTCCTAAGGAGGTTTCCAGTGTGAGTATATGTGTAAAAGTGCCAAATGATCCAGGTTACTTCAGAGCTTTCCAAGTCGTCTGATAGCAGTGTGTCTGACGTTGCAGCTGGGACTTCACTTCACACGGCCTCAGAAAGCCAGAGCTTTCACTAAAAAGAGCTCTGAGACTCTAAAGGGAACAAAGAACAGGCCTCATACATACGAGTCTGCACAGCCAGACAGAGACAAGGGGGAAAGCCTTTTCTTGATATGGGCTTACCCTTTTTATCACTCAGTTGGGAAATAGAAAGAAAAATAAAAGAAATACAACAGATGGGAGACTTTATTCCCTTTCACCACTCGATGGCTTCCCTCAGAAGCGAGAGGACGCTTCTCAAAGACTTTTACTTGGAGAAGACAGCGCATTTTAGTTGATGTTAACAAAACAAGGCTTTGTCTACTTAGAATGTTCATTTTTATATATTTTGACATACTAAGTATTATGTTTCGCTAATATTTGAGATCGCAGAGGTAGAACTGTTGCAAACATGGTTTCATGTTCCTTTTATGCTCCTACAACTAGTCTTGCTTTAACAGTTTGTTGTCTAATGTAAATATTTTCGATAAGTGCTTCGTCTGCTAAACGATTGATGTCGATATCAAATGGCCTGTAGTCTCTCACATTCTTGTTTTGTTTGCAAACCATTTGCTCAACTACTCTGAGTAAAGTTTGTTGTGTCTGATGTGGTGGTCGACGGGTGAAACATGCAGAGTTCATGCTGAAGGGGATTCTGTTGAGACTATGGCAGGAGGCTAGATATACAGTCTCTTGAATAATCTCTTAAACTGATAATATGCTCGTATCACAATAGCCCTTAATCTTGTTTTCTTGTTGTCGTTTGCGTTAACGTTGCGTTGCTACCTCAGGGTAGCAGTAATCCCTTTGAACGTATTGGTGTTTAATGAAGGGTGATGCACAAATCTTTGTTCAAAGATGCTAAAGCTCAACATGTTTTGACATGAAAGGATCAGCATCAGATTTGGCTTCCATTCGTACATTAGCAATAACACATTATCTGTCTTTCTGTCTATCTGACTTCTGTCTGACTATCTGTCTGTCGATCTGACTTCTGTCTGACTATCTGACTGTCTGTCTGTCTATCTGTCTATCTGTCTATTTGACTCTCTGTCTGTCTATATGACTTATCTGTCTGTCTATCTGTCTGTCTATTTGACTGTCTGACTGTCTATCTGACTGTCTGTCTGACTGTCTGTCTGTCTAGCTGTCTGTCTATCTGACTTCTGTCTGTCTGTCTGTCTGTCTAGTGTCTATCTGTCTATTTGACTCTCTGTCTGTCTGTCTGTCTGTCTGTCTGACTGTCTGTCTGTCTGTCTGTCTGTCTGACTGTCTGTCTGTCTGTCTGTCTGTCTGTCTGTCTATCTGACTTCTGTCTGTCTGTCTAGTGTCTATCTGTCTATTTGACTCTCTGTCTGTCGATATGACTATCTGTCTGTCTGTCTATCTGACTATCTGTCTGTCTATCTGACTAGATTCAAGATTCAAATAGCTTTATTGGCATGGTTAAAGAAATCTTTACATTGCCAAAGCATTCAGAACACTATAGAATATAAGTAAGTAAATAGTTAAATAAAAAATAATAAAAATAAAGTAAAGTTTTTTTTTTTTCTTCGTGGAGATAAACTTCGTGACTATCTGTCTATCTGACTATCTGTCTAGCTGTCTATCTGTCTGTCTGTCTGTCTGACTATCTGTCTATCTGACTATCTGTCTACAGGTATCTGTCTATCTGACTCTCTGTCTGTCTGTCTGTTTGTCTGTCTGGACACTTTTTTTTGTCTGTTGAATCACTGTTTTTCAGTGTGTCAGCATTTTGTGACCTGTTAACAACTCTATCTCAGGAAAAAGCCCATAGTTCTTTGTTTCTGGTTTATTTTCTGTTTTCTATTTGTTTCTGCTTTGTTTTTGTTTTGTGTTTTTTTTTTTTTTTTTTTTTTTCAGTCTCAGATCATTTTAAATGAAGCTCATTATAGTTAAGGCCCAGATCCGGGAGTGATCTGGGAGAGTCTTCACACGTGTAAAGGAACCAAACTCCATGTGATGGCAGCTCCTGAAACAGACAAAAGAGGACATGTTTTAGCTTTTGTGTTCCAAACAATGTGGCTCTGGCATCCATTTTGTGGCAACGTTAAGAGGATAAAAACAGTCTATTTTGGCCAAAACAACTGCGTCTGCCACAACAGACCATACATCCTCTCATTAAAGGGAATGTATTTTACACGTTTGTTACATTATTTTTGTACCAAAACCCACTTGCAATATTAGTCTAGCAGTTGTAATTTAGTTTTACAGGATCATTTTCTTACCTCTCTGCAACCCTTAAAGTTAAACCATGTGAGTATTGAATTTTTTTTTCTTTAAGACTAAGTTACAATACACCTGTCAATGCTGGGAGGTAAACAATGCCAAATACATTGTCAACATAACAACTTTTTTCTATGATATGTTGTTCCTAGAATAACATAATAGTCAGGAATTTTAATGGAGCAGTTTGTTGAACCTTTTAGACAATATCTGTTGTTGTTGTTGAGAATAATATGATTCATCAGGTCTTTATGATGCATACATTATTATAAAGTGACTATGGAGCTCATTCCTGAGGAAGAAAAAAACCCCTCAGACTGATCAAAAATATGCAATTTGGTGTAGTTTATTGTTTAAATGGCAAGTTTTCATAAAGATTTCAAAGCAAAAGAGAATGGTGGGCATTTAAACTTAAAGGCTATTTACTTGCTAAACAAGTATGTAGTAGAACAGGCATGTATTAGATTCAAGTTTTGATCACATTGACAGTTTAGAGGCCTTAGAAATGTGTGCATCAAATATAATAGGGTTAAGGAAACTAAGAAGTTTAATAATGAATAATGGTACATGTCTTTTTGAGTTCTCAGACCAGTTTAGGGCTGGGCGGCCAAGGTCACCGAAGGCCACTGAAATGCTCCTAACCAGAAATGATATGTCACGTTTCCAGGGTCGTAATTCCTTTAGTGTCGTAATTCAGTCTTGATGTGTTTTGTGTTGTGATTTACATTTTGAGCATCAGATCCGACACGGTGCACTTCGTTACTTTCGTCTTCTAAATGAACTAATGGGTTGCACATCATAACACCATCATCACGCAACATCCCGCTCTCAGCGGAAACCAGGAGGTGAACGTAGACGCTATGGGCTTAGTTAAACACGCATAAAAGATTAGAGGCCCTGAAGGACAGACGGTTGATAAACCGTCACACGGCCTATGGAGAGAGGACGTTTGGCTCCGCGAGACTCCGACTGTCTTTCACACAGCCACTCAAGTGAGACCAACATATGTAAAACACGGCGCGGGAAGCGAGCAGCCCGCGTTAAGCTGTTTACATCTGATCCCTCTCCACCCACGTTGGCTTGGCTCGGCCGGCTCTCTCGGGTTTTGGCTTCCCGTGTCGTGATGAAGGCAGAGGCTCCCGAGCTTGTTTGCTCTTGCACTCGAGGAGTCGTTTTGAATATAAGACAAGTGGGTTATTTGATATATATATATATATATATTTTTTTTTTTCTGCTTTAGCTCTTAAGACTTCACTTGAATGCTTTGAAGTTACGCCATGTTGGTTCATATATGAGAGAGAAGCATTTTTATAGCGTTTCATGTATGTCTTAGATTTCAGCTTTATTGTAGTTGCTTTCTTCTCCAGCTTGTTGGAGATTTGATGTCCAGCCCTGGGAAGGTTTGGTGATTCTGGATATTCGTTTAACGAATGTTACTAAACACGGAAATTAAATCAGCTGAGCCGTTTAAAGGAAGGTTTAACTTCGTAATCCTGGTTTCTCTAGCATTAATGGCCAGAGCTCTTTAGATGTTGTATAACCCGTTTCCCAGTGTTGAGTACTGACCTGCTGAATAATTTTCCTTTTCACCTCTTTTCGTTCATTTAATTGGAATTATCATGTCTATTGTTTTCGAGTCCAATATCAGTTCCAGACACGTGAAACAAAAGTGTATGTTATTAATCAGTGTTTATTTTTCAGTTGGAGAGGCGGAGACCTAATTTTCAGCTATAAATTTAAATGATTGTATTAAATAGATTAATTGCAACTAATTTATAACCCATACTACTGCTGATAGCCTGCTTACTTCACCAACTTTCTCCCTAATTGTTTGTGTAAAGATGCACCGTCCCATTTTTTACAAAACTGAATTTGCACAAGTTAACTCATTGGTAAAAGCACAATTTCAAAGTCTTACGTTGACTTTTGTCAGATGAAATACTCGTGCATTACAAAATGTTCTTGCTTCTACTGATGGACTCTAAAGTAAACCATTTCCAACTCTAAAGTAAACCATTATGCATTGCATGATTAAAATAAAACCATGCTGTGGTGAAAATTAAAATAGGTTGTCACTGTTTCTCATGTTTTTTTGCTTTTTCTTTCTCTCTGTACAGCTTCCTTGTCAAATGGGCAGCTGAATGGATGTGGGTCTAAGGGAGGACATAAAGAGGACGGGTCTCTCTCTCGCACAGATGGAGGCAGCGAGGGCGGCCCGGCCAAAAAGAGGTTAGTGATCCACTCTCGCTCTCTCAGCGGTCAGTGTTAAAGAGTCAGTTGGATCCCTGGTGGGTAAATCCAGCTGCGCCAACAATTTTAAAGACAGCTGTTGTAGAGAGTATTAAAAGAGATGCCATTATTAGGACCCAAGTATGGAGTTTGTTCTCAGACTGAGATTCCTGACTTCCTGTCTTTAATTTCCCCATTTGTTTCTATTTCTGGCTTTATTTAGCAGAAAATGACAGTCAGAAAAAAAAAAAAAAACGAAGCCGCTTCATTAAAAGGAGTCTGAGGACCTTATAACAAGTGGTAATTCTTTGAAATGAATTGCTGTCATGGTCGTTTTTAATTAGTCACTTTAAGACACGCTTAAACATTTTAATTATTAATTAAAAAGCAAGAGAGTTAATGTGTCCAAGTGCAGTCGGTAATTAACCATTCAGCGTGTAATTTTTTTAGGATGTTGTAATCTGTGATTTGGAGAGAGGATGGGGATGCAAGCAGCTCGGGGAAGAAACGTAATAGACAGGCTTTTTTTTTTTTTTTTTTTTTTTAGCTGTGCCTTTGAGGCAGACGCTGGCTTGAAAATGGTGAGAAAGACAAATTATGGCTCTTTTTTAATCGGAAAAAATATAAACTGCTAATTTCCCTCGACCACACTGAGCTTGCAATGCACTTTTAGTGCTGTTGATTCATATTTTTCATCAAATGACCTAGTTGTGTTTGGATTCTGGCAAAGCAGCTCGTCTTGTGATTTGTGTGATATTTATTGGTGGAGTGGAGGACTTGTGCACAGAAAATGAGACTTCTATCATTAAAACATCATCATTTCAAACCTGTATCTTTTCTTACATGCAGCACAAAATGAGAGTCCTTCATTTCCCTGAATTTACAATGAATTATGAAGTTTCAAAAAGGACGCGAATGCATTTTATTGCTTTGTAGGAGAAACAGGCCAACATTTTAATTCTTATTCTGTGAAAATCTTGATATCTCCTGTATTTGCACGTTCATGAAAGAAGTGACTGTCCAAATGTGTAGTCTAATGAGAACAATATGCCTTTGTTTGGCCAGTTCTACAACATCAGAGCTATAGTTATCAGATAATTCAATCCCAGAAGCATTGTCGAAATCTCAGTGAAATAAAATCATCCGTGTGTATGTATTTATATGTTTTACCTGTGAAACAGCTGCCTAAGTGTTTACCTCATTGTAGTTCCCATCTTTTATGTTGTACTTGGCATTATAACTAAGTATTTGAGCTCAATTGCTCATCTCCTTTCAAACAGGATTTGACTTTGATCTTAGTGTATGGCCACATCCAAAGCTCAATCACACATTCACATAGATGGGTGGCATTAGCATTATGGAAGACCTATTCATCAAGCCCACTGTTTAATGGCACAACTTTCATGGCGTGCCATAAACCCCCTTACAAACAGTTGCGTAGGCCCGCTGAAGAGGCTTTTCTTCCTCTCGAGAGTCTGAATTAATCCCACCACCGGCTTCGAGGGAACAAAACCGCTCTAAGCGCAGGCGCCGCTTCAAAGACGACGCACCGAACGCCACACAACGCAGCACTTCCTCATCGCAGCGGCCGGACCCCAGCAGATGTCCGTTTCAACCCCCTCCTGAAAGAAACATTCACAGAGACCTTCTGTTGGGGGTTCTGTCTATCAAGCCACAAGCACCTATGGGAGAACGCAAGGGCGTAATAGCGTGTGTGCGGGCGAAAATCAGCGTGCAGCACCTGCTGCTGCTTTACCTGTCACTTAATACCCTGTTATAATAGTTAATCAGGGCGCTGTCCTCTAGACATCATCATTAAAACGGATTTTTGTGGAGAGACAGATCGAGTGGGAGGCGAAAAAGAGGCTGGAACGGTTTGAGATGGGCAGTGCAGAGATGCAAGTAAGGACAAAGAGCAGCAGATGCAGTGTAATCGCTAAAGCATTGTGGGCCGCTAAGAGTCTTAAAGGGACAGGTCATTCAAAAATAATAATTCTGTCATTATTTAGTTTCTCACCCTCATGTGATTCCAATCCAGCATGACTCCTAAAGGACAATGTTGGGGATTTTTCATGTAATTATAATGAATGTACAGTTTCAAGTTTCAAAAAGCTTGACACAAAAGCACCGTAAATATGCTGTATCATAAAAATGGTCCATATAACTTGTTCATCATATTCCAAGTCTTCTGAAGCCATATGACAGATTTGAGGAACAGAGTGAACTTCAAGTTCTTCAACTTTTTTTTTGACATAGGCTCATTTTACCACTCCCCCAGAGTTAAACAGTTGGGTTTTACTGTTTTCGAATCCGTTCAGACGATTTTTTTATATTTAGAAGAATATCAATATAGACCGTTTCTGGTCTCATTGACTTCCATAGTAAATATTTTTTTCCTACTATGCAAGTCAATGAGACCAGAAACTGTCTGGTTACTGATATTCTTCTAAATATCAGAAAATTGTCTGAATGCATTCGAAAACGGTAAAACCCAACTGTTTAAATCTTAATCCGATTTCCAAAAACATTGGAGTATCCCTTTAACTCTAGAACGGCTTATCTTGATTCAATAAATTTTAATTAAAAAAAACAATGCGATTGATGAATGAATCATTCAGATCTGTTCTCTACGTAATTGAAATGACCCAAAAGAATGATTTGTTCACAGATTGAAAATCACTATATTTATGGAGCTTTTGCGCATCCATCCTTTTGATATTTATGAGCGTCCATCCATCCGAATTCCCTATTTGTTGTAACTGCATGGAAAAGAGCGTCCAGCAAAATACCTTTTGTGTTCCACATTTTGTGTTTAAAACCTCATGAGGTTGATTAAATTGTCAGAATGGTGTTTTTTTGGAGAACGTTTCCTTTAGTGAATCACATTTGGCATCCTATACTGGACATTTGAATGTGTTGGAAGTCTGTGTACTTGTGTGTGTCTGCATGCTGGGCAACTTATTAGGCATCTGGTGCCCACATAAGACGACAACAAGGAGTCTGATTGAGGGAGTGCCAACGTCTGTCACACCTGGCCTACAATAAACCCAAAAAAGAAAGTGAGAGAGAGAGGGAACGAAAGGGAGGAGAGACAGCCAGAGGCACAGGTGCAGGGGCTGGCCAGGTTGCAAGGGGAGGGACGTGGAAAGACGTTTGGGAGAAGACTGCTGTTTGCATTCCCAGGATTGGGAAATAGAGAGGCCTCCGAGCTCAGCCAAGTGTCAAAGCAGCGACTTCCCATCCTTCGTTTAAAATCTGTCGCCTAGACGCGCTGAATGCACACAAAACCCCAGTTAGAGGAGACAAGGGGGCACCAAATGTGGCAGGCGTTGAAGAGGCCTGTCCTTTTTAGTGTGTATTTGTGTTTACTTGTTTGAGAACCCTTCTTAAAGAGAGAATCGTTTGAATTGTTTGTGTAGTGGCTGCTTAGTTGCTGCCAAATTACTCTTTTGTGTTGGGCCAATGCTGCCTTTACAAACATTTCTTTGCTGTGTTGAGAATAAAATACTAGCGCATTTCTTAAGGTCCTTTCACACTGTTCGTGTCAGTGTTCATCAGTGCAACTCTACAGGCAGCACATTGCCCCTAGGTCAAGTGTTATAACAACGCTCAATGTTTAAATGTGTTAAAGTCAAGTTATAGATTTATAAGTGATGGGTAAGATTATTCTGTGTTTTTTTAGAAAGAAATTTAAAATAGTTTTCACTAACGATGCATTTGCGTTGATCAAATGTGACAGTAAAAACACTTTTCTAATGTTTAAATATTAATTTTCTATTCGTAAAAGAATCATGAAAAAAGTGTCACCATTTTAAAAAAAATATATATATATATATAATTTTTTTAATTAATTAATTAATTAATTTTCAACATTTTTAGCGTTTCTTTAGAATCTGGATTAATGGCTGGTGAAAAATTCCAGATGATCCCTATCCCACGAATAAATAACATTTTAAAATGCAATTGAAAACATTTCAAATGGTAATAATATTATTTCAGAATATTACTGTTTTTGGTCAAATAAATGCTGCTTTGTTGAGCATACGAGACTTATTTGAAAAAATGTAAACGTCTTTCCAACAAACTTTTGAAAGGTAGTCTATATTCAATAAAGTATTAAAATATAGTATAAAATCACTCTTGATATTAGGGCTGTCAAACTAATAATCGCGATTAATCGCATCCAAAATAAAAGTTTGTGTTTGCATAATATATGTGGGTGCACTGTGTATAATTATTTTGTATATATATATATATATATATATATATATATACACACACATGCATGTACATTTAAATTTTTTTTTTTTTATTTATAAAATATTTATATTTATATATGATATAAATTATATATAAATCCATATACAGTGTATACATGAAAATAATTCTTCAATATATACAGGCATGTGTGTGTATTTTTATATATAAAATAATTATACGCAGTGCACCCACATATATTATGTTAACACAAACTTTTATTTTGGATGTGATTAATCGTTTGACAGCCCCACTTGATACCTCTACAGTAGGTGAGAGCATTACATTATAAGAATAAAGTATTCTGAGCAGTGTTTTAAAGTTTTATGTTAGTGAGTTGTTGGTGTGGAGTTTTCCATGCACTCTTGGCACATACTACATTACTTTTCAGATGTATTACTTTTATTACTTTCACTTTAAATATGTCATATTCATGCATACATCATGCCTACAGTACATATGGCTCTATAATAGCCACATTGATTTTCCTCTAAATCTGCTGGTTGCGCTACATACTCCAATCCACTCTAATGGTACAGCAGATCAATGTCTGCGATAAGCGGGCGATTAAACATGATTGGAGTGTGACGCATGTTTTCGGAGATGAATTGAGAGCTATAGCGTGAGAAGAAGACTCTCAGGTAGGCAGTTTGGCTCCAAACTCCGGTTGATTCACAGGGCAGGAATGTCCTGTGTTTGAGGTCTCAGGCTGAGGTATTTGCACAGCAGACAATTGTGGCTGC